TGGACTTTGCTGTGTTGGTTGCCTGGCGCCCCTGTTGCCATGGCGCCCTGTGCTCGCCATGGCAACAGGAGCGAGGGGGCACAGCCAGGCCAAGCCCTGGCTGCACCCCCTCCCAGCTGCGCCTGAGGCGAGTGCCTCACTCGCCCTCCATGGTAGCTGCAGCCCTGCGCGACGCCGGGTGATTTTTTTTCCCAGTGGCGCGTCTTTAAGCCGCTTCCTTACGGGACAGGTGTTTAAATACTTCCTGTTATCCCCAAAAAAAAGAACACGTGTCTCTTTTAAACATTTCCTTGTGACAGAGTTGTCTGAGAGCTTAAACATATGGAACATGGAAAAGAAAAAAACGCTTATGGAACTTCTAATGTTAACAGCAAAAATAAATAAATGATGTTCAGGATTTCCAGTTATTTTCTTCTTTGAATGGAACTTTGTCCTTAAAAAAAAAAAAAAGTAAAGGAAATGAGCGACATGCAAATATTTTCTTACTACTGCAGGAGGAAAACATCTGCCAGAGGCTCACTGGAAGCAAAATGTAAAGCAAAGTTCAATTGAACCGAACACCGTCCCACGTTTCCTTTTATAAGTTTAAAGTGATAATAAAGTCAAAAGGTCTTTACGCTATTAAACATGCTGATCAAATCACTTCCAATGGATGCTGCTCCTTGATGTTTAAAAGGTTTTAGTTTCCTCTTGAGGTGGCAACTCTAGGATCTGTGTAAAGCAGCTGTCAGTTCTGCCCCAGCTTGTAAATGCAGATGTTAAAGGCCCTTCTACAACTTCTCCTTGGGTACCAGAGGTCCTTGTCTGCTTGGTTACCAGGGGTCCTTGTCCCCTTGGTTACCAGGGGTCCTTGTCTCCTTGGTTACCAGGGGTCCTTGTCTCCTTGGGTGCCAGGGGTCCTTGTCTCCTTGGGTGCCAGGGGTCCTTGACTCCTTCGGTACAGAGGTCCTTGTCTCCTTGGGTACCAGAGCTCCTTGTCTGCTTAGTTACCAGGGGTCCTTGTCTCCATGGGTACCAGAGGTCCTTGTCTCCTTGGGTACCAGAGGTCCTTGTCTCCTTGGGTACCAGAGGTCCTTGTCTGCTTGGTTACCAGGGGTCCTTGTCCCCTTGGTTACCAGGGGTCCTTGTCTCCTTGTTTACCAGGGGTCCTTGTCTCCTTGGGTGCCAGGGGTCCTTGACTCCTTCGGTACAGAGGTCCTTGTCTCCTTGGGTACCAGAGCTCCTTGTCTGCTTAGTTACCAGGGGTCCTTGTCTCCATGGGTACCAGAGGTCCTTGTCTCCTTGGGTACCAGAGGTCCTTGTCTCCTTGGGTACCAGAGGTCCTTGTCTGCTTGGTTACCAGGGGTCCTTGTCCCCTTGGTTACCAGGGGTCCTTGTCTCCTTGTTTACCAGGGGTCCTTGTCTCCTTGGGTGCCAGGGGTCCTTGACTCCTTCGGTACAGAGGTCCTTGTCTCCTTGGGTACCAGAGCTCCTTGTCTGCTTAGTTACCAGGGGTCCTTGTCTCCATGGGTACCAGAGGTCCTTGTCTCCTTGGGTACCAGAGGTCCTTGTCTCCTTGGGTACCAGAGGTCCTTGTCTGCTTGGTTACCAGGGGTCCTTGTCCCCTTGGTTACCAGGGGTCCTTGTCTCCTTGTTTACCAGGGGTCCTTGTCTCCTTGGGTGCCAGGGGTCCTTGACTCCTTCGGTACAGAGGTCCTTGTCTCCTTGACTGCAGGAGGAAAACATCTGCCAGAGGCTCACTGGAAGCAAAATGTAAAGCAAAGTTCAATTGAACCGAACACCGTCCCACGTTTCCTTTTATAAGTTTAAAGTGATAATAAAGTCAAAAGGTCTTTACGCTATTAAACATGCTGATCAAATCACTTCCAATGGATGCTGCTCCTTGATGTTTAAAAGGTTTTAGTTTCCTCTTGAGGTGGCAACTCTAGGATCTGTGTAAAGCAGCTGTCAGTTCTGCCCCAGCTTGTAAATGCAGATGTTAAAGGCCCTTCTACAACTTCTCCTTGGGTACCAGAGGTCCTTGTCTGCTTGGTTACCAGGGGTCCTTGTCCCCTTGGTTACCAGGGGTCCTTGTCTCCTTGGTTACCAGGGGTCCTTGTCTCCTTGGGTGCCAGGGGTCCTTGACTCCTTCGGTACAGAGGTCCTTGTCTCCTTGGGTACCAGAGCTCCTTGTCTGCTTAGTTACCAGGGGTCCTTGTCTCCATGGGTACCAGAGGTCCTTGTCTCCTTGGGTACCAGAGGTCCTTGTCTCCTTGGGTACCAGAGGTCCTTGTCTGCTTGGTTACCAGGGGTCCTTGTCTCCTTGGGTGCCAGGGGTCCTTGTCTCCTTTGTTACCAGGGGTCCTTGTACCCATGGGTACCAGAGGTCCTTGTCTCCTTCGGTACAGAGGTCCTTGTCTCCTTGGGTACCAGAAGTCCTTGTCTCTTGGGTACCAGGGTTCCTTGTCTCCATGGGTACCAGAGGTCCTTGTCTCCTTGGGTACCAGGGGTCCTTGTGTCCATGGGTACCAGAGGTCCTTGTCTCCTTGGGTACCAGAGGTCCTTGTCTCCTTGGTTACAAGGGGTCCTTGTCTCCTTGGGTACCAGAGGTCCTTGTCTCCTTGGTTACAAGGGGTCCTTGTCTCCTTGTGTACCAGAGGTCCTTGTCTCCTTGGGTACCAGAGGTCCTTGTCTCCTTGGGTACCAGAGGTCCTTGTCTGCTTGGTTACCAGGGGTCCTTGTCTCCTTGGTTGCCAGGGGTCCTTGTCTCCTTTGTTACCAGGGGTCCTTGTACCCATGGGTACCAGAGGTCCTTGTCTCCTTCGGTACAGAGGTCCTTGTCTCCTTGGGTACCAGAAGTCCTTGTCTCTTGGGTACCAGGGTTCCTTGTCTCCATGGGTACCAGAGGTCCTTGTCTCCTTGGGTACCAGGGGTCCTTGTGTCCATGGGTACCAGAGGTCCTTGTCTCCTTGGGTACCAGAGGTCCTTGTCTCCTTGGTTACAAGGGGTCCTTGTCTCCTTGGGTACCAGAGGTCCTTGTCTCCTTGGTTACAAGGGGTCCTTGTCTCCTTGTGTACCAGAGGTCCTTGTCTCCTTGGGTACCAGAGGTCCTTGTCTCCTTGGGTACCAGAGGTCCTTGTCTCCTTGGGTACCTGGGGTCCTTGTCTCCTTGGGTACCAGAGGTCCCGGAATCCTTGGGTACCAGAGGTCCTTGACTCTGTCCGGTATCTCTGGAGCCATGTATGGGTAGCTTTACTGTGGAATCTTCTTGCCAGAGATGAATCGCCTCCTGTTCCAACGCTCTGAACTCTTCGCAGTGGACCAAAAGCAGCAGCTGCATTCAGGGCCACCATCATGGGTCTCAGTACAG